TTATTTCATTCTTTCTATTATTATTTATTACATTTCTTATTCAAATTACATCATCATAATTAAATATTAATTAATAATTCATTATTTGATTTTGTATTAATGTTGTGTGTTGTTTCTAATATGTCATTTTCAAGTCTAACAGTCAAAAGAATGAAAATAATAAATAATAAGGAATAAAATTAAAAAAAATAAGAAGTGACGAAGGAATAATACTGATAAATATTTCAAGTTAAATAAGATATAGTTTTAACTAATAAAAAAGAATTATTCTAAAAAAAACTAATCAATTTTAAAAGAGATGAAAGTGAATTAGTATAGATTGGATTAAGGCTTTACCTATGAAATTAATTAATAATACATTTTATCCGTATTATAATGGGAAGAGTTTTGTGAACAAAACGACTGTTTTGGTATTTGTACTTCCCTACATTTTTATATTTTGTTTTTTAACATAATAGTTACATAATCTAATTATTGAAAAGAAAGAAGACTTTCAGTAAATAATAAAATTAATTAAAAAGAAAGAAATTGACAAATAAATAGAATATGAAAATCTATTATAGAATAGGTATTAAATGTTTTTAAAATAAAAAACAATATTAATTTAACATAATATTGTAAATAATTTTTAAATTTAATTGATTGCAAAATAATATTTTAAGTCTTTTTGATAGAATTTATTTCTAAAGGAAAATCTATGTTCTTAGTTAAAGGAATTAAGTTTAGTGATAATAAAAATGGTTGATGATTCTTATAGAAGACATTCGTCTCAAATAAAAATGTGAGAAAACACAGTAATATATTTTTTTGTTTAAAAATATAAAACATCTTAAGAAATATTGTTATTAAAGAAAATTATGATAATTAAATCATATTTCAATTATTTCTTTATTAATTAGATATTTATTATTATGATAAATTACTTATAACAATTACAATATATAAATTTAATAAAACAAAGATAAATAAAATACAATGAATTGATATAACGATATTCTAAACAATAGAAAATTATGTATTAAAATTAACATTAAAAATAAAACAATAATCAAATTAATGACTCAGTCATAATAATATTATTTATAATGCAAAGGTATTTAGTTTTTTTTTAATTTCTTTATAAGTTATAGAAACAAACTATTACCACACATTAAAAAAGTATTACAATAATATACATTACCTATATCTATGAACAAAAAAAGTTCATCTTCTTTTTTATCATTTTATTTTAAAAAATTAAATGATAAAAATACTTGAAATAATAATAAAAACTTGAACCTAATCCGTATCAATTCATTTTCTCATAAAAATAATTCAATAAAAATTTAAAACTTATTATGAATTAATTCATCCTTCTTTTAGTTTATTAACGTGATTAAATTTTAGTTATTAATCCCATAAAAAATAACACAAATTATAAAACAATCTAAAAAAAGAAAAAAAACAATTGATGGAAGAAAAACAAATCTACTTTTGTGTGGTGTGTGGATGTCCATTACTCTTTACTGGTCATTTATTTGACCCACCTGAAGATAGTTTTCTTTCTCCATCACCTCAAACAGATGGATTATCAAATATTTCCAAAACAAAACCAAAAAATAATTTGTTTAATGATGATAGCTCGGAAGAAAGTAATTCTTCATTTACATCTCCAATAAGAACACAACCACGTTCCTTTACAGAAGAAGATACATTTCATCCAAATGAAATAAAAGAGCGTTCACAGTCTTCAATACCCAAAAACGCTGTAGTGTTAAAACCAAAAGTGAAAACAGGTGTTTTGCCTCCTAAACGAAAAGGTGGATTAAAAACATTGTTTTCGTTTTCTCAATCCGCTCAACCCATCTTTTCTGAAATTGAAGAACCTCTATTTCATTTTAACCTTTCATACTCAAGTGTTACTGAAGAAACAACAAAAGAATTACAACAAATAGAGGAGAAAAAAATAAATAAACAAGTCAATCTCCCTAAATACCCTGTTTCAGTAGTAGAACCAACAATTGCACTTTGTAAAATCTGGGAAATAGAATTTCCTATTTGTTCTAAATGTTATCAAGTAATTAGCTCTGCACTTGAAGAAACATTGGCAATGCTCTCATCTGAATTTAGGAAACAAAGGATAAAATATCAAGAATTAATAGAATACTCAATTACTGAAACCTTAGATGAAGACATTAAAAAAGAACTTGAAGAGATTGAGAAATTAACAGATGAAGTAACGTCTCTACAAATTCAAAACGTTAGACTTCATCATCAAAAAATAATTGTTAATCAGTTAAGATACATTGAAACAATGATTCATCAAAGCCATTGCCAACAACTTAATGTTCTAGTTTATTATAGTAGTTATTCAGTCATTGCTTTTCATATTCCACAAAATTCTAGAGTTAAACGACTTGAAAAATTTTTAAGTTCTACTACGACTTTTGACCATTTGTTTCATATTAATTGGATAAATAACAATGATATTTCAATTAATGGAACTGCTGTAGTCACTACTCTTCTGTTTAGAAATAAAAAAAAATATGCACTAATTGTAGACACAATTCTGAGGATGATTAGAGTGTTAGAAAGACAGTTTAGTCTTAACCCTCTTCAACTCCCTAATATCCATGTGAAAAAACCTGATGACTTTTTTATGTATTGTTTAGTTTCACTTCATAGATTTATTATTTACACTAATACAATTAATGCGGGTCTTATTATTCCTTATTAGTTTGTTGATAAATTAAAATGAAAAAATAAACATAAATAATACTTATTTAATAGCACAAATTTAGAAACAAAGAAGATAGGTAGAGCTCAATTTATTCCTGTATGTTTAAATAATAGTTATGAAATGTTTGAAATTGGATTACGGTTCTTCTTTACTGATGTGAAAATATTGATTGATTATGCAACTAAACTAGTCCAGAATGAATGAATTTTTGTATATTCTTATATATTTATTATCTGTTTCACTATTTTTTTCATTGTTACAAATAACTTAAAAATAGAATGGTATTATTTTTAAAAATAAAAGTAAGAAGATAAAAATAATAATAAAAAACCTAAAAAAAACAAACAAAATTAAATAGAAAAACAATAAACTAAAAAATAATAAAAAAGAAAAAACTTAAAATGGAAAATGAGTGGTTATTCACCTGAGATTGATGATTATTTAACTGAATTAAAAACTAATATTAAACAAGGTAATGATGAAATTGAAGCTATGAAAGGAACAAAAGGAGATGAACATAATAATAGATATAATCAAACTAAACGTCGATTTGAAAATGCTCGTAATATTCTTTCAAGTTTGAAGATTGAGTCTAGAAGAATGGAGAAAGAAGGAAATCCCAAACTTTCTGATTTTAATGCTGTTTGTTTCTTTTATTTTGTTCTTTCATTTTGATTAACTTAAAGAAAACTATTTTTTTGTTTGAGATTGTATCTGAAATTGATATTTAAGGAAGTAAAACAATTAGAAGGAGAGTTGAATGCTGCAACTCAGAAATTAACTAAAGAACTATCAACAGATAAAAAGGAAGTAAATGTTGATGACTTAAATGCTGATGAGGCATTAGGATTGGCTGTTCAAATACAAGAAGAGGATAAAAATCATCTTGACAATGCTATTAATCAAATAAATGATGCAAAACAAATTGGTGGTACTATTTCTTTACAACTTGATCAACAAAATGAACAACTAGATCATTGTATTGAATTAGTTGATGAAATTGATTCCACTTTAGACATTGCAAACAAAGAGTTGAATGGAATAGCCAGAAGATTAGCAACAGATAAAATTATTATGGTCTTAATTATTGTTTGTGTTTTAGTCATTATTGGCTGTTCTGTTCTTTACATTTTCTTTGGATGAAGTATTTTATTATAAACCAAACAAGTTGTTATTCATTTAGTTTCTTTTTATTAATTTTTTGTTATAACCTAAAATAATTTTATACTTCTAAAATTCTCTTATTACTTTTTTTTAGGATAAACTCATTAAATATTTGTTTTTATTGATGAGAGTAAAAATACTTACCTCAACAACCTATTTCTTAGAATGTATTTAGTAAGTGTTAATAGATGAATTGTGTTATTCTTGTAATTTTTAAAGACACAAAAGAAAATGTGTTAAACTGAATGGTTGAATTTAGGTTAATAAAATTGTATTTACAACATTCCTCTATAAAGCTAGTTATGACAAAGCAGAATGGATAGTTTTGCTATTTAACGAAAGTAGCTTAAATATATTGTTTTTATATAAAAATACATTATTCAAAAAAAAACAAAGCATAATTAGACTTAAAAATGATGCAAAATTGTAGAGTAGGTAGTTTAAGTATTGTCTGTTGTTGTCAAAATATGGATAATAGATAACGTCATAATGAAACATAGAGTATTGAATGTTTGTTCTTATAACAAAGTATATTATCAGTAAAAGTTTGTTGATAATAATAATGGAAGAATATCATTCTATTCATAAAAAAGTTACTCTAAATAAATTTAATAAATCAAAAACACTTCAGTAGGTTTCTAATATATAAATAATATAGGAACTTCTGTTATTTCTTTGATTAATTATACAATAAAGAGTTTTTTGCATGTCTTAATAACAACAATAATATTAATTGCAACTGTTGTATATGTAAATTCTTTTTTTTATTTCATTATTCAAAAAGAAGAAGAGTCAATGAAATGAAAAGGGATGAGTGAACATTAAAGGGAAGAATTTATTTAATGGTATAAAAGAAATTGTTTTATTTATGTATTTTTGAATAAGAGATGAATAAAAAATAAGGATTGAAGAAATAATCATTAAAAGAAAGAATATAATGTTTTGTTTATAACTCTTTTGGTATTTTATGAATAAATAGTTGGATATAAATAAGAAATGATTGTCTTTATTTTTT